TGGTTAAAAAAATACTTAGTGATGGTCTAGAGGAAAAATGTTCTAGGTGAAGTGTCATGACCTTGGAGTAGAAAACTCAATGGCTGCTCAAGTACAATGAGAAAGTCAAAAGCTGGAAGCATGGAGTAACAGGACCCAGAGGGAAAGAGGGGAGGTGAGAGACAGGTGCATGGGGGCCTTGGGGAGTGAACTGAGCTTCTTTTAAGCACATGAGAACTACCAGGAGAGGGTTGCGTGCATCCGATACAAGTTTTAAAAGGATGCCTAGCCGCCAAATGAAAAATAAGGCACAGTGAGTATGGATAAGTAGTTTAGTATGTCCTGAGACCTAAGTCTTCAGTATGGCAGGAATAGAAAATACAAGAGGGTAAGGATGGTAAAATATGGGAGGGGAAGATGAGTAGGTGGGGAGAGAGTACATCATGCAGGGTTTTATCAAGGAAGAAAGGTTTTGCAATCATTCATGCTCACAACCATAAATTCAAGTCACAGCTTTAGAGAGTTTTTTGCATTTATACTAGCAGGAGATTTTGAAATTGGATTATAGTTTATATCTGATGGGATGTGCTTCTACTGTCTGTAGTTCTTTGGTATTAATTATACTGTCAAACTTTAGCTGATTTTAAAATTAAGAACATTATATAAGCTAATGCTTAATTGTCTGTTAAAGAATACTTATACAATGTCTAAAGGTTCATTAACCATAACCTTCCATATGCTAAAATTAAGGAGTTCTTTTGTTGTTGTTTTATTATTTTGAGGATGCTGGAAATTCACACTGGTGTTGGAAGTGGATAGTAAAATGCACTACACAAGAGCACAGGGAATTCCTCTCTGAATCTCTGTTTCTTCTTCTGTCAAATAATAATAGGGCCCACCTCTAACAGCTATGGTGAGGATTAAATAAGATGTACAAACAATACAGTCCAGTGTTCAGTATTAGTGCTTGCAAATAGTACCTAATACTTACTATGGTAATCTCTATCATCACTAGCATTATTAATGCATTTGATAAACTTCCTCTATTATCTTACTTGGACTGTAATTCTAACACTCATATTTATAAGATTAAAAAAACAAAATTTTATGAAGACCTGAATTAATTCACACTCACACACACACACACACACACAGAGTTCTGTAGTTCTGTGTTAGTATCTGGATAGATCTTAAAATTTAATTTAAGTTTTAACAAGTGATTCTAGACTTCCTGCATTGTTCATGAGAAGGCCTAAGGACAGCCCTATCAGGGGAAATTATATCATTTATTCAATCAATAAATGTTGAATGTCAACTGTAAGTCAAGTGCCATACTAAATATGAGGGCACAAAGGTGAACAAAACAGACCATGTTCTCTTGGAGTGAGATTTTAGTGGAAAATAAAGACCAATCAAACTAGAAAAACATGGTAAAATAAGCAGATGAGTAAATTACATGTTTTAGAACACTAATGAGCACTCTGAAAAATATAAACCAGGATGACTGCCTAGTAAGAGTATAACTTGCCACCCATGGGTAAGCTATTTTAGATGGAGCCAACAGGGTAGACTTTGAGGAAGTTCAAAATAACAAAGAAGATGAGGTATGAGCCCTGTCTTTAAGAGCTGATATGCAATGCAAAGATAGCTGAAAATTCCATCTGACTGTGAGTCACTGCTCACCACTGTATGTCAGAACGTAGCTGGTGCTTAACATGTAAGGATGAAAGTTGAACGAATTATGATACAACCTGACCACTTCCAGGAGGCACTGAGAGTGCCTGAGTTTGCCTATGAGCAGGAGGGAGGCCCAGAAGACACTTGAACTGGAACTGGAATGGCAAGAGAGCAATGGGAACTGGTACTGGAGGGTGTTCAAGTAAAGAAAGTGTAGATAAAGACATGGAAGGATGTGACAAAATAAAACTAAGAAATTTAGAATTTCTGGGAAGTGAAGTGGGGACTAAAGGGCAGGGCAGGATGGAAGGCGATTTGTGCCAGGATAAACAGTCTGGACTTGACTTTAAGAATGGGGTTCTGGAAGGCTTTTGAGTACAGGGGCAAAGCTGAGTTTCATGCTGAAATAAGTAACTTTCAACAAGGGCAGGAAAGTGAAAGTGCCTGTTTCCTTGTTCTTTTTTTTAAATTATGTTTTGGTGCATTTTAGGGATACAATATGTTTACATTTCATTGGATGCTTGTACCTCTACAGGATGTATCTTAGTTCTTATTTTTTTCCCCATTACCTGTGTGCCCTTCACCCCCTCCACCTTTC